TCTCTCTCTCTCTCTCCCTATTTCAAGTGTCCCAATTTGACCTCCAATTTAGAAACCTTGTTTTTATTGAACCAGTTACTGAAATTATACTGATCGTTTTTCTTCAGCATTTTGTCTCCCTCACAGAATAACTTAGCAAGACTCCAGTGTGACATGAGGAAGGCATTAACCTTGCCTTCTCCATGACTAATCTAATGCTATAATCATTCATTAAATATTTATTAGTATTGCTGTATTGTCATTAGGAGTTCCAGGTAATCTCTTCCTGTCTATAATTTGCTTCCTTCAAAAATCATGTTTCCAGCAAGATAGCTTAGCAGACTAAGCTTCTGCTCAGACAAATGCAGGGGCTGGGATTCGATCTCCAGCACCAAAGGCCACACGAGCTATACCACAAGGCCCACAGAGACAGCAACCAAGACCAGGTGTGGTGGCCCACGCTGACAGTCCCAGTGTTGGGAGGCTAGAATCAGCTGGATCATTACGAGTCTGAGCTGCACAGTGAGACCTTGTACCAAGTACATAAATTTAAAACAATCATGTTTCTCTTAAACCAGGATATTAAGCACATCAATCAGAGTTATCTTAAAGCACTTACATGCTTACTATGACCAATTTCATTCTAAGGTTTAATGATATGGATAGAAATCAAGTTGCTACATGTTTAGAGACCTATTATTGTTGTATTAGATTATGCATTTATATTAATATAAACCTGTCATTTCTCTGTTTTATATTTATTTTTTATTGAGAAATAAATATGAATGAGACAGTTTCACAGCTGATTAATAGGACAGTTTTGATGGTCAATACACTGTACATTGCTATCTTCTTAGTGGTTATCCATAAAACCTGTCATTTTTCAATGTGGTTTTCTAAAAACACGAATATGAAAATATCCAAGTAAATTGCTCAGATTTAGTGCAAAAATACTCCACATGCTGGGTTTTAAGAAATCAAATATTACCTGCACAGAAATACTCTTATGATCTCTAAGTTAAACACATGAAAGAGATATGTTTTTGAGCTGTACTTTGAGATTCAATACACAAAATAAAAAGAAAGACATAAGAGACAAAACCACAGCAATTAAAGCAAAGGAAAAAACAGATTATTGATAGAAATATAATCTCCATTCTCATTTGAGGAGCAAGTTTCCATCAGAAGCAAAATTCAGTAAAATCCAGATTGTTGGGAAAAAAAAACTGATATTTAATTCATATTTAAAATCTGAGGGTTTAATTGAGTTCAATACATAGACGATATTACAATTATCAATTCAGGCACATTATATGCATTTTGTCTATGCAGACAAAGGATGCATTCCTATTGAAAAGGAATACGAATGCCACCCAGTGACAAAGCCATTATAGTTTTAGCTGTCAAGTGACATCGCCTCCTTAGTAACTCTGATTTAATGGGGCTAGCATTCTATAGGGAGCCCCAAGAACAAACTTTAAACTTCTTCCTGAAGATCCTACAGAATGCATTTTTGACTTCTTTGTTCCTGACACTGTAGATCAGCGGGTTCAGCATGGGGATCACTAGGGTATAAAACACAGAGGACAGCTTGTCAATATCAGAGGACTGAGCAGACTTGGGCTGTACGTACATGAAGAAGAGAGTCCCGTAGAAAACTACCACCACTGTCAGGTGAGACACGCAAGTAGAGAAAGCTTTCTTTCTTCCTTCTGCAGACCGCATTCGACATATGGCTATGAGAATCATAAGGTACGAGAACAGTACGACCAGGAGGGAGGAGGTCAAGTTAAATATTGCAAAGTGATTGATCAATGATGCTATCTCTCGTCCATTTGAGCACAGCATAAGTGACACAAGAATGTTGTCACAGTAAAAATGAGTGAGACGAGAGGTACAGAAAGTGGATGTAAAAATCTTACTCGTGAACAGAAGAGCCTGAAAGGTGCTGTAGAGGTACGGAATGCCCACCAGCACCTGGCAGCGCGTCTGGGACATGATGACGTTGTAGAGCAGAGGGTTGCAGATGGCCACGTAGCGGTCATAGGCCATGGCTGACAGGATGAACATTTCGGTGACAATGAACACAATGAAGGAGACCATCTGGACGGCACAGGCATGATAGGAAATGGTATTTTGACCCATAAAAAAATTGACCAGCATCTTAGGATAAATCACAGTGGCATCACTCAGATTGATGTAAGCCAGGTGTCTGAGGAAAAAATACATGGCGGTGTGCAAGTGGGCATCCAGCGTGGTCAGGATGATTGTGCTCAGGTTACCCACCAGTGTGACCAAGTAGATGATGAGGAAGATCACAGAGAGGGGCAGTTGGAGCTCAGGCAGGCTGGAGATAGTGCTCAGAATGAGGGCAGCAAGCACCGTTCCATTGTGTCCACCCATGATATCCTTGCAACACTTCTAGGAAGAAAAGAGGGAGACGTTATGCCTTCAATTCTGAACGGCAAATAGATTATAAGAGGCATCCAAACCCCCGAGATGATTGTAATAATAAGTGATAGAAAACTCACTTTCTATTCTAATTCTAATTAAAGGAGACATAAATTTTTCTTTCTATAAATGAAGTACCAATGCCAAACAAGTGAATAGTTTTACTCATGGAAAGAATCAGCAATATTTGGATCATTCTCTTCTTAAGAAATGCCAGGGCTGGGGAGACAGCTTGGTAGTCTAAGCACCTTCCTGGTAAGCGCAGTGACCCAGGTTCAATTCCCAGTGCTACCTGCCGTACCATCTCCCTGAAAAGTTGCCACCGATACTGGGTATGCTGGTTCAAGTGTGTAATCCAGCACTGGAAAGACTGAGACAGGAGGATCGCTATGAGTCTGAGCTGCATAGCGAGACCCTGTACCAAATAAATAAATAACCAAACAAACAAACAAATAAATAAATCCTTAAAACAAAATAAAGGAAATTCCTATCAGTGTATAAATAGAAATGCTGTAGGCTTTATTTCATTAATATGGTGGAACCAGACTTTCCTTTTTTTGTGCAAACATATGGTGTGGAAATGAATAAAAGTTGAAATAAAATATATCTACCACAGTAAGCCACATTGCCATTAACGCTTGAACCATTCTCTCTGCTCCAGACACACACATTGCTACTGTCCAGGGCAGTGCTGATGACTTACTTACCCTAGTGAGCGATCAAATATTGATGACGTGGGTACCAGACCTCAACAATAGAATGCCAGTGTCATAAGAACTCTGGTAGGTGACATCCATTTTTCTCACTGGCTGTATCACAGCAGAAATTCTGGCTGTATCCCAAGGTCAGGATGACCTTGAAACATAAACCACAATTGATTCAGGGCGTGAAGCACCAGCCACAATACAGCAGAAGATATTCACAAAATAGGAGTTCTAGGACTGCCTCAGAAAGTGGCAGTGAAAATGGGATACACATATTCCCCATGAAGGACAGCACTTTGGAAGACATTAATGGTTCTGTGTCCTTTCTTTATTAAAATTTGTGTTATTTAAATGTACACTGTGTTTCTTGAGTACATCTTGTTCTGTCACAGTGTGACAATTCTAGGAGAGAATGAGCCCTCTTAAAAGTTATATGCAGATTTATCAATGAATTAATGAGGCAAAGTGTCTTTGTAAAAACCTTTCAAATAAGATACATAACCTTTGAGCAATTAGGCCCACTATTTCATTGCATTCTGAGTGAAATTTCATCAAGATTCAATAAAACTTGTGTGTGCATTAACATCTACAGATATTTTTAAAATCCAAGGAACAGAACTTTGCTGTAATATTTTGTTGTGGGATTGATGTGCATATTTGTAATTTTGGCAATTAATTGTGATTTTCATTGATAAATGCTGCCTTCCTATATAAGAAATGGTTTCTTCCCATATGGGAAGAAGTGTTAAATTCATTATTAAAACTAATTCAGAGATTTTATGTTTTTTTAAATACTTACTTACACTTGAAGTTGCAAATTCCTTCTTGCTCCCAGTAGACATATAAATTCATTTCTCAGGTTGTGTGGTCATTTTTACTTTGTTTTAGGGAAAGAGAATCCTCAATTATATTAGTCTTTAAGACAAAGATGAAGATATTTTCGTGCTGATGTAATAGCTTGTCGGTCAGTTTGCAGACTTTGCGTATTTACTTTAAATGCTTTATACCATTAAAGAGCAGTATTGTAATGATAGTCTCTAAATACTTTAAAATATTCATTTGATCATTTTCAAAACATGATTTATAGGTTTTCAATGGAATAAAGTGTGACACCGCTACATGTAAATATTTTAGGAAAACCTCTTACTCCTCATTTCACTACTCGATGTAGTAGTGAGACCCTGAACAACCAGGAGACGCTTCCCTAAAATATAATAAATAAATAAATAAATAAATAAATAAATAAAATTTTAAAAAAGCAACCAGAACAATTAAAGGTGAGGATTGCACTTGAGACCAAACAGTTGAACTCTTCTCCTGTCACATTCCCAATTAGCGCATGGATACCTCGAACTATGTCAATACGACCATCACTTGGAGGAAGAAATTGGACAGCAAATCATTCTGATGCTTTACTGCAGAAGGGAAATTGGTTACTGAGCCACCCTTGTCCTCCTCCACAGATGCCAGAGGTCCAGTTCTTGGTGTGCAGTACCACATCAGCAAGAACAGCTGGGAGCAGCGGCAGGTGGCAGGAGTTCCAGGAATCCACGCACGGCGGTGCTCACTGGAGTTTCTGAGTTAGGAAAAGAAGCTGGGCATGGGGTGAGCCTGGAGATGGCCATTTGTCTTCAGATCTCTTTCTCTCACTCCTCAGCCAAGGCCTACTATGTTCTCAAATTTCTACATTGAATTTGCAAGTGGTGGTCTTCCATCCTAAGACTTTACTGTAGAATAAAAGACGCAGTTGGTTCAGCAAATATTTATTTCCAATTGTAATGTCTGTATTACACCCATATGACCATATGTCAATTCCTTCTCTTACCTAAGTAGATGGCACGCAAAGCGTACCTGCAGGCTTTTTGGAATACTTCATGGAACACATTCACACATTTGAATTTGGTCTCCACACACAGCAGGCACAACACAAGAAGGATACAGAGAAACTGATTAACCAATCTATGTGTCACCTCAATACAGTACGCAATTATCAGACATGCAATAATTGTTTCATAACTTCAACTCTCTTAAACTTCAGTCTTTTTAACTCTGTAAATTCAATGTGTGAATTATTCATTCATTGAATATTCCATATGAAAGAAATCAGAACCAAATAGAGGTAGCAATGTAGAAAAGACAAACGGTGCCTGGAGTATCTGCTCCATGATTCCCGTGACACCTAGCAGTGATAATAACTTACACATCAGGAAATTTCACATGGATATATTACCATAACCTGTTTTTCAAAAACAGCATTATAATGTAGTAAGAGTAAAGGTAAATGACATTGTAATGATAAAATTCTAATTATAGTAAGGGTAATACCTGTTATAGTTTTCAAAATCAAAAACAGCCTCTTGCATTATTTTGGAATTGCCAAACTTATTCAGCTCTACAGTGAGATTTCTGCCCTACGTTCACTTCTATCTCCCTTGATACTTCCATTGTCTCAATGGTGCATTAATCTGTCACCAGTCTGACTGAGCACCCACAATTCTCAGGGAGATGCTGCATTCCACAGTGCATTTCCAGGACGCAAGTGTATTTGACTGTGGGTGTCTATGGTCAAAAGCCTAAATTAAGAAGATCCAACATCCCCGGGTGAACATCCGAAGTCAGGGCAATTCTTAGTCACCTCAAAACAGGAATCAGATTTCCTTCTCTGAATTCACTCTGCCTTTGTGTATGGACAAGAATTTAAGGCTCCCAACTCTATGAGTGATATTCCCTGAGGAAAGGCAGTTAATTCACTTGACTATCTCTGCATCATCCCAGAGACTTAAAATTGGCTATGATGAAAGCCTGGATCTTCCCTGAGGAGAATATGTCAGGGAGACCCAAGGAAAGCAACAAGCACCGTGAATTATCAGATCTGTTCCATGGAGACTTCACTGACTGAATTCAAGGTGCTCATTCTCCACTTACACAGTGAAAATAGAGGAGACATAGTAAAATAAACTTTCTTGCCTCTTGAGCCCTGGGACCCCGAGAAGTTCCCACATCTATTATTTTAAACAACAGCATCATTATCACCCAGAAATTTTCCATTCTCTTGACATCTCTCAATAAAATACAGAGTAAGAACAGAATGAAAAACGTGTCATTAAGCTCATACATGCAAGAGATGGAGTTTAACAAGAGATGTAACTTTTTGTATCGGACAATGTCAGTCAAATCTCCTCAGGATTTACCCTGAAACCTTCTACCATAATTTGTAGATCCTTTGTTAGTTTCAGCCATGTGGATGAGTCATGGCTGTTGTTTGACCAATTTGCTCTCTGTGAAAGCCTCAGAGAATGTTTTCTCTCCATGGGACTCTCCTTAGGTACACTCTACATCACCAGTCACTTTCCTCTGTGGCCCCATAATGTACTTGATCAGAAAATTTGGGACACAACTGAGTTATAGGATGTTACAGTACAGGTTCTCTTTGTCCTGAGTCCTTACTGACCTTGAAAGGCTAGGGCCAAAATGCTGACTGTCCTTGTAGCCCTTCTTTTTCTCTAAGTTTTGGTCTGCAAACTTAAGTTGTTAACCCTCCAGAAAAAAAGCTCAAAAATTACATTTCTTGTTATATTGGTCTTGCTTTATCTTGGTCTCATCCATCCAGCATAAAAGTATAAAAATGAAGTATAAAAAATAAAGTCATATTAATATACTGAACTGTAAAAGGCTCAAGTCAACAACTTCTGACATTGGCAGTGCTATGGATAACCAGCTACTATTATGAACTACTGGACTATATTGGATTACTTTGCTGAGTTCACGTACCTTCAATATTTAAATGGCAATGAAATACTCATGCCTGATAAAACTGAAGAAAAAAAGGGGATATAAATGAAGGACCATTTTGTATTTGTATATAAAAAATAGTTAGTATAGACATATAGCTACTGTCTGTTACCTCAATGAGAAGAAATATTTGTTGTAAGAATGTTTGAACAGGATATCATGTCTGCGTTTTGTACTGTGAATAACCACTACCAATACAACTATATGCAATACATTAATTATTGAAACTGTCCTATTAATTGGTTTTCAAACTGTCTCATTGCTGTTTGTTTCTCAGTAAAGTTAATAAAAAAGATGAAAAAAAAGAGAGAGAGTTTAAGACAACTAAGATAAATTGAGTACTTTTCCTGAGGTCTCAATAATGATAAGCAAAAGACAAGAAATTAATGTTTGCTGTCTAAATGAGTGACAGACATTCCTTGTGCTTCAAAACTGTGGCGGTGTATATGAGGGAAT